CTCCTCCCTCCCGCTGTCCCACCCCGGAGCGGACCAGGAGGGTCGGTACGAGCGTTTACTACAGTTTATTGACAGCACAGTCCGCCGGCGGGGCCGGGGCGGCGGCCGGAACAGGGACAGCGAACGGCTCGGACACGGCACAACCGCGAACACCGGGCGGGAGCGGCCCCGGCGCGGCGGGGACAAAAGCGAACGGCAATCTGCTCCAAAGTCTCTGGAAAGGCTGGAAAGGCGGTGACGAGCAGGACGCGGGGCTGGCGCTCGGTCTGTGGTAGCCGCCCGGACCGGGGGTGGTGTCCGGCGAGACAAGCGGCAGGGCCCAGGTCCATCGCGGCTTTTGCTTCTCCCGCAGTGCCCAGCAGGAACACAAACGCGCTTCTTCCCGAACAACGGCAGAGTCGCTTCTGGCACCACACTGCTTTGGCGATTACAGATCCCTTGCAAAAAAGTCCATTTGCTCAAAAAAATGTTTATTTATATATCTCTATATATTTTAAGGAAAATATCCGTTTTTACCAAAATACGATATACAGGCACACAGCTGTAAAATAACTTTCAACCAATTCACTATAAAATTACTTTTGGTAATAAATAATTTGATTCTCAGAGAGGCAAAACGCTCCCTGTACCTCCGCAGCTGGGCTGCCCGAGGCACGGTCCCTCTGCATTCCCAGAACGCTCCCGAACACTCCCACCTGCGCTCCCCTCATCCTTCTCACTGGGCCTTGCCCAGGGCAGAAGCAAGTTGTGCTTTTCAGGCTGCATGAGGCAGAATCCTGCTCCCAACAAACCAGGTCAATGGCGGAATGGTAATAAACACACGCCAGAAGCCATCTGTGAAGTCAAGGGGGCAGATCCTCCCAGTAGTGTTTACTGTGGAAGGAGCAGCTGCTGGGATTGGGCTGGTGAGATCTATTCTGCTCTGGGGCTCCTGCAGGCCAGCAAGCTGTGCTGGGGTCTGCTCCCAACAGGAGTGAAACCAGGAACAAAACATCTATGGGTGCATCTGGGCAGAACTCAGAGACAGTCCTTAACCCCAAAGTGTCAGATTCAGAAATCCTGAACTAGCTCTCCTCAGTCTTGGCACAATAATGGTTTAGATGGGAAAACAAGAAGTGGCTGACTTACTCCTAAATCTAAAGAAGTTACGTGCGTCCTCTGCTCTCTTGAGCGGATCTCTATGGATCTTCAAAGCACCCAAATACATTTGGTCACAGAACAGTATTGCTTTGCAAGTCCAATGTTACACGAATGTATAATCTGCTCTGGAGAGCTTTGTCCCAGCTGCTGTGTCCAGTCTGACCTTACAAGGCCACAGAGCAGTTTTCAGCTCTCTGAAACTTTTTTTCCCTTGTTCAGGTAACTTCTCCTGCCTGCAGAGCTCCCTCAGCCCCAGGAGCAGCCACAGCCACCACAGAGCAGCTGCCAACCCCCAGGACTGAGTGAGGCTCGGCCGCTGCTGCACCACGGAGCTGCACTCAGACACTTACTGAGGAATCAAACACAGGTAAAGCTTTTACAAAAGAAATCTCAAGACAAAACAGTTGTTGAGACAGATTCCAAGATTTTTAGCTTTGGGAAGGAGCAGACTTGCAGCACAGCATGGTTACAGGACATGGGAGGCGATGATGCAGGGGAGGTGCTTCCTAACTCATGCCAGGGAAGGGCTATGGAACAGCACTTCCATCCCACCCTTTGGGGAGAAGCCTGACCAGATCTACTCAAATTGTAGCTTCTAAAGATGATTAATTAGAGCCACATTTCCTGTTGCCCCCATCTATTTCCTATGATCCTTTAAAGACATCTCTGCACATCTCCCTGGGGAACAGTCTTGAGAGGTTTAGTCAGACATGACTTGACAGACATTATTTTGATTTTTGCTCACAAAAAGGTCCTGAAACTTCTCAAGAAAGCACTCCAGGGAACAAGTTCTGTTTGCGCAGCTCATGGAAGCTAGTGCTCCATTTAGCTGGTGCACAAAGCAAAATGACACATCACATCCCAAGAGGAATTAAAAACCCAAGCATTAAAGACTCATAACCCTGCATTGCCCTGTCACTGTTATTTGGAGAAGCCAAAAGGGGGAAAAAAGGCAACGGCAGTAACTTTGGCGAGATGTTCCAAAGCCAGTTTAAGCAGGAGCACAAACCTACTGTGGGAGCAGGATTCATCTGAGCACACCACATGCAGGGAGTAGGGAGCCAGGCAGGAGCAGTCCTGTAAGGACACAGCTGGTCCAGTTCACCTTGTCCTCTCAATGTATTACAGGCAGAATTTACCCCTTTAATTTGGCATTGCCTGGTGCTGGCAAGTCATCTCCACTAATATAAGCAATAAAGATACATGGAGAAAGGGAGAGCGAGACAAGAGGGAAGGCATCAGGCCTGAGAAGAAAAGGATTTGTTCTCTTCTCACTTAAAAATGGATCAGTCTTTGCTTCGCTTCCACACTGAGGACTGCGAGATACAGAAACCAGATTTTCTTCAGTACACACAAGCATACACCGAGAGGTACCTACGACCATAGCACAGAGCACACAGTAGCACAAATTTAGAATGACTTAGTTCAAACAAGACAAGCTTTTACTTGGAGGGAAAAATATCAACATTTTCATCTTGAATGCAGTTCTTTGGGTGGGAAAGAAGGGGCTGGCTCAAAATCCAAGACACTCATCCTAGCTACAGCTAGAGCAGACAGAGGGTATGAGCACTCTGCTTCCACAGTACAATTCCATACTCCTCCCAACATGAGTGAAATCTTTATCTTTGAATGTCCCAGCACTGGACCTTCTAACAAAGATCAGCAGGTAAGAGGAGAATTAGGAACCTCAATAATTAATTTTTGACTTGGACAGTCATTGCTGCTAAGTTCAACTTCTGAACTAATTTTGAAGGCCTACATTCTCCTCCTACATTCCAGCTTCTTCAGGGCGCTATGTATTTTAAAAAGTGCATTCTTCTCTGATGAGATCTACCTTGGCAAAAAGCAAACAGAACTTCCTCAAAGGGCTGCAAACGATAGAAGCCTCTCAGGTCACATGCAAGGGCTCCCCACTTCAGCCTGGCTAAACAAAGGTGAGGACCACCAAGACTTTCCCAGTCAATTCACAAGCAATGTCCCAGAGGTTCACCAGCCCACACGAGTGGAATCGTCATCATCATCACTCCTATGCTTGGAAACAGCATACTCTTTTCCACAGAGATGGAGCCAAAATAAGAATAGCTTCATCAAAGCAAAAGCTAAAGCAAAGCAAAAGCGTTTGGCTGGAAGGCAGTGAGCTGGGGAAAACTCAGTTCCCCCTTTCTATGCAAGCTGAACACTGCTGGTAGAGGAACAGCAGGAAGGGCAACAAATAACCTGCCTCTCACTTGCTGCTGCATTAAAGGCTTCCTGCATCTTAAGCCTTCACATACAATCCCATGTTTTAGCAACTGGGGACCTCCTACTAGGCAGAAAGGCAGGGATCAGCTTCACAGTAAATACATGGATCTTATCACTGTAATACATACAGGGGTACCCATTCCCCTGGCTAACTAAGGGCTCCTGTACCTGGAATCAGTTATCAATTACTTCAAGGTCCAAGGGTAAGTCCCTGGAAACAGCAAATTACAGTGGAAGAAGAGCCATAACCTTTAGTACAACCACAAATGATCTGCAGCACCTTGTGGAATCCACCCAACATGGCGTATGTGTGTATATATAAATTTTGTATATAGACATTGTAGTGGTTCATTCTTTTTAATACATATACAAGTACCTATACATTTATACATATTTACAATTTACACCAGCCAGTAGATGTATGTGTACTGTACATACACACACAAACGCCGAGCACACACATGCACACACACGAACACACACTTGTTAGAACAGACTCCACAGCCCGGGAAATGAAATCCTGCCAGAGTCCAAAGAGCAGCACCAAGGGGTGGGGGGGGGTCTCAATGTACCAGCTTCGAGACTGCTTAGGACAAACACAAGTATTCACAGGATTTTGTACACTTGGGAAATAAAGAACAGATGGTGCAAGCTTCAGCCCAGCTACAGAGAACCTTCATGCAAGCTCCCCAGCTACACTGCAGCCGTTCCTGCTGTTGCACACTGTGATCCCTCGGCAGGATGGACCCACCAGTGCTGACCTGGCTGACCAGACCACACCCTGGGTGATGCTCTGCACCCAGGACTGCCATGACACTACAGCAGTCACCAAGTTCTACACTGTTTCCACCTAAGCATGAGGCATGGCTGGGGTTCAACAAAAAGCACTGACTGGACTTGTCCTCTCACTTCTTTTCTAGCAGCCCATGGAACAGTGACAACTGACTCTTCCATTTAATAGCTTAAAGTATCTCCATTCCCTCATTCTTGCTCATCCTGCACTGCCAGGAGCTGCTCTAGCTCTGCAGGGCAGGCAGTGCAGTCCCAAATGAGCCAGCCAGCACTCTTCCCAGCAGCCACAAGAGCCTTCTCCAGCCAGCCCCTTCCCAAAGGCCACTGTCCTCTTGCAGATGCCCCTCCTGAGCTCTCAGGCTGGGGAGCCGAGCCCCTCGCTGCTCCTGCTTCCAGGGCAGGACGGAGTCATAGGGGGGACATGCAAAACATCCAGGGGGTTATGGCAGCTCCCACTTGGTTTCACCTGCAAGGGGAACATCAGCACCTCTCCTGGGGCACGGGGCTGTGGCACAGCGGGGTCAGACACACGAGTGACAGGAGGGGCAGGCACAGCACTGTACAGGACATCCTCTCAGCTCCTGTCAGGGAGTGGTCATGCTCTGGGAGCCACACATTCCATCCACACATGGAAAGGAAGGGAACACCTGCTGGAAATGCTGGAATTTCTATATAGTACCTCAAACTGAAGAATGTCCCCTCCTCCTGTGCAGGATGCCCCACATGACAGTGAGAGGTGGGGGCCGAATTTCAGGGTTTGCAGTTTGTTCACCTATTGATCACCTGCCCAACCGGGTCCTTGGGTTCATACAGAAAACTGCTGCATCAAACTTATAGGGAGCATTAAGTATCTTTAAAAATTCACTTCAAAGCACTGCTCCAAATGCAACTTAATTGTCCACAGTTTTGTCTCCTCACTTGCCTAAGACTGAAAAAATATATTTGTTACGAAGGAATCTGTGTTATTGCTATTGTTGGTTTGCACTGTGTGGTTCCATCTTTACCTTTTCAAATCCAAACTCTTTGGGGATAAAATATTGGTTTTTTTCTGTTGATTTTTTTTCTTTCCAATTTCTTAAAATTGTATAAAAATAAAGGATTTCCACAAATGTGGGCTAAAGGTATAACCAATAATACTTCTATACTTAGGATCAGCTGTTGGAAATGTGGTTGACAGCCACAAGACCAGAAATAAACCTCTAGCGATTCTTTACTTTAACATTTAAAAGACATGAAAACTTCTGCTTATAAAATTGACCCCATACAGAATGGAACAGCTCAACTAATAGCTGTTTATTATTATTTTTTAAAATAATGGTCCTAAATTTAAAAATAAAATCAAGTACTTCCTTTTATGATTTTCACATTATAAAACTGCACCATTCAAAATCTGTGGCCAGGGAATCCCCTTTGCAGTAAGACAGTTTCTTTTAATAGTCATCGAGTGTGTTTTCCAGGAAAACATTCCTAACATCCAGTATGGAAGCCAGCTCCAAAATGTGCTTTTGGAGGTGAGGGTTCTCCACCGTTTCATCTCTTGGCAGCTGAGGATAAGATTCAGGATAATTTCGAGTCTCCTGCTAGATGACAGTGAAAACAAAGAGAATCAGACACTCATCTTTTCACACCTTCTAGGAAGAAAACAGCAAAAGGCCAATTGTGCCCTAATGTACTCAGTATGGCACAGAGACAGAAAATAGTCTATAATTTTCATTTTTCTCTTTCCATTGACTGAGAGATGGTCACAGTGGCAATAAAAATGCCTGTCCATCTCAGATAGTTATTGGTATGTTCACTAAGGCTTTGCAAAAAAAAAAAAAGGAAACCACTAAAAGAGACAAAAAAATATTCACCTGTACTTACCTACTAGGCTGGAGTTCATTTCTTGAAATTACAGACATGTAAGCATCTCCAGTGGGAGATTCATCTCATCCTAAAACAAATATCTAAGACACTGGGGGCAAATCTCTTCCCACTAACACAGACCTGCTTCTCCTCCCTGGTATCAGAGCAGCCCAGGTAGCTGACTTAGGCTTGGAGAGCTGCTGGATGTCTGCAGTTCCACAACTGAATACTGCACCTTTCAATGCTCCAGTCCCATTCTTCCCTGCAGTATTTAAAATGGAGCAGGCAGTTTATATGCCAACATTCATATAAAATGGTGTAGATCCAGAGCAGACTTCTCTGTTGGCACAGCTTTAACCAACAGGGAGGCAAAATACCATCTTCCTATTTAGTGTATTCATTTACACTTCAAAGACCTTTCAAAACCCATTCACATGAATACATTCCAGAAATAATGACCCACTCCTCCCCTCTTCCTCTTATATTCTTGTTCTATACCTTTTTGGTTGTATAGAAATAATATTCTTATGTTATCAAGAGGAATTTTTCTAGCAGACAAGGCTGTCCATAGTGACATAATTGAACTGGGGTGTGTCTGCTGTGTTACATGCAGGACTGAGGCTCCCGGAAGCCAAAGGCTTTGTGCCTTTGGAGACACACGAAGGCACAGCCTCAGTGTAAGCTGCAGGAACAGCATGTGAGCATCAGTCACCTTCCTGAGGTCACCCAGATCTGCTCAGCCCTTGGACCCTCCCATTTGAGCTAGGGCAGCTCTACAGGCCCTGATCTGGAGTTCCCACAAAGGCACAGACATCCCTGCATACCCGGAAGATTTTGTGCATCCTCATAGTAGCTGAACAGAAGATAAATCTTGTGAGAAGCAAGCGAAGGAATTCATCCCCAAAAAACTGAAGAAATGACTGGTCTGTACAAAAGGCAAAGAAAGCTCAGTTAAGAAAGGCTCAAAGTCCCCCAAAAGGCTCAGCTGTGCCTGGCCAGGCCATACCTATGGATCGGGAGTGGGTCAGCAGCTGGGCAATGTCCCGGTTGATTTTTCTGAGGTAATCCTGACACTTCTCCCATAATCCTCGGCGCATGCTTGATAATCCAGAGACAAACAGGAATGCCATTAACGGATTGTTCAGAAAGAGTGTGAAGAGGCTACCCCGCTGAGACTGATCTAAAAGGAAAAATAAATCAATAGACAAAAGGATACATTTGGCACATGAAACAGAAACGCTGTCCCTGCCACACAACGAAGTCGCTCACCCGCTAAATTCCATCACAGAGGAGCTACTCCTGTGTGTTAGTTACACCTTCTCTCATGCAGACCTGATCAATGACTGGCAATAAAGGCTTGCTGGAGACGTGCATTAACACCAAGACACCTTAACTGACGCTGCTCCCTTTTTGGGAGCAATAAAGCTGCCCAGAGTTGTAATAACCACCATCACACCCCAGACTAGGCTGGCCACTTCCTCAGTCTCCATGTAGGATAGCTCTCAGCTCCTGTTGGAGCCATCTGTAGAAATGTCATCAGCATTGGAACAAATTATTTACCACATACAATAGCTAAACTTTATCACACTACTTCAGGCATTGGTAACCTGATTTAGGGGTTACACAGCAGTGAAAAGCTTTTTCTTGAGGAATCTGTTTGGGATAGATACAGGATGCAACTGCAGCTTGTTGGGAAATGCAATACTGCACATACCTTGTAATGCTTTTGGATATGCTGTTGGAGAAAGCAAGCACACCAATGGTTGTCCAAATAAGTTTGTGAAATTCTGTAACAGATAAGAGTTTTGAAGTATTGATGGTCACTTTGCTTGCCTTGAATATTCAGCAAGTCAAGGGTACAAATCACATTAATGGCAGAAGATACTAATGCCCCTCACACAGCTGAGCACTGGCAATGAGTCTCATAAGTTCACTTACTCAGAAATCAACGCACAGAAGGAATATAGCCAACTACATTTTAAAGGAATTACATTCTCTCATTTCATTGCTTCTGATGGCAGACACTAATTTCATGGAAATATGGCTTTCAGTAGTAACACATTACTTGAAAATAAAAAAACATGTTCTGCAGTAAAAGTGAAAGTAATTTGGTTTAGCATCTTCCCTCAACACCAACTGCCCAGTCAAAAATATTTCTTTCCCCTTTTCTTTCTAGCAGGAGGAGCTATGTCTGATGAAACATGAGAGCCCAGAGAAAAGTTTTAAAGTAAGTTTCCTTTAAAGCAAGTATGTCACAACCTTAACATCTGCTGTATTGAGCCCTCATTTTACAACACTCATTTCATGCCCCTTTCACCAGCACCTTAAATGTTGCCAAAGTGTCCAATTGCACAAGAATTTCTCCAGAACCTGAAACACCACCATTGTCCACTTTCACCAATATTTACCTGATAATGTTCCTACTGTGTATCTCTCTGGTGGTAAACAATTAACACAAGGGAAAAAAGCCAAAAATCATGCACACAACTTCATCAGCTATCACCAGAACACTTTTTTAAAACTGAATGCTTGCAAAGCTATAGAAAATGTGATTGTATCTGCATCCTTTCAGAGCACAGACTTAAACCTTGCCTCCCGAGCATACAAGTGCCACAAATCTGAATATTGGATTCTTAAAACTGCCATTTACAGGTGTAAGACATACAACACCACAAGTATTTGCTTTTATAGAATCCTCAAAAGGTTTTTTTTTTAATTCCTTTTGGCCTCTGCATAATTCAAATGAACTTTCCCTTCCAGGCAGTATATTTCCGTTATATTAGTATTACCAAATTAATTTGATCTAAATCTGCTAAATACTAGAGACAGAAATCTAGTCTAATCAAAATAAAACATTTCCCATCTCTGACCAAAGTGCTGAGTAGTACTAAAACCCCTCCTAGTTCATTAGGAGCCCAGGGAAGACTGATAATGCTGGATACTAAGGTTTGGTCTCTAAGGAAGAAACAAAGACAATTCCCTTGCAGACAGTAACAACAGGCAGCCCAGGAAGTGGTGAAAGAAACATTTCAAACTCCAGGAGTCACACAGACACTGCTGGTTTGAATTTTACACACACCAGCAAGGTTTTACCTTCTCCAGTAACTCCTATGCTCAGTACCATGAGCAGATTGACATTTCATTAATTCCGTCGTGTGTCACTCAGTTACAGACCAAAGCAGCCACACCACCGGTGAGAACAGCCCTGCAGTCCAACAGCCAAGAGCACCCCTGGGTCATTTGTGTGTCTCTGGCTGAGAGCACTTCTGGACCCTATCCCAGCAGAGGTTAAGCCAGGAAAACCTGCCCTGCAATCCAGATGTTGACAAGAGGTCTGGATATGGAATGCCCTACCTATCAGTGCACGGACAACTCCAAAAACAAAACCTCATTCTGTTTCAAAATTGACTGTTTTTTTACTTCAGTGTTCAAGTTTTCTAACAGAAATATTGCTGATTTTTACAATACATGTCATGTACATCTCTTTCCAAGAGAGAACTGCCCATCATCTCCAAAAGAAGTCACTTCACATTTAAGCTTTGCTAAGCTAAGTATTTATACCACATCACTGACAAAGGCCTTGCATTCTCACTGGCTGGAGGTTTTGGTTTGGTTTGGTTTTAAGACTTTGCATTTTACCATGATCCTAGACAACCACAGCTACAGAAAGATATTGATTTAAAAATATTATTTCATCCACATATGCAGTGGTAACCTTCAAGAACACACAGAGAGCTATATTTAAATGGAAGTGTTAAAAAAAATTCATGGCTTTCAGTAGATATGCTCGATTTGCAGTTATCTTCCACTTTCAGCTAAATATACAGGGAGGAAGCTGTTCAAGTGCCGCTGATTTGACAAACTGGCAAGTCACTTCCTGGCAGGACTTACTTTCAGTCATCACCATTTAAGTCCTCCGGAGGGAGGGAGAGGACAGGGATGTGTGCAGGAGAGCAGGAGCGGGCTGCAGAAAAATATGTGTGAGCAGTTGCTGTTGCTGCCGGTACTGCTGGCAGTGACATTTAAATGTCAGAATAGCTCCTGTCCTATCAGGAAGGATCAGAGCAGACACATGGAAAAAAGTCAGAATTGATTTCAATTCCTCAGAGGGTCGCACAGAACCTCTTTGTTTATGCCAACACTTGAGCCTCCAGACACCTCCCAGCCTGCCAGGGGACAGTCACAGGACAGCTCTGTCAGGGCACTCTGGGGACAAGGACCCCAGCACCACCACAGGCAGGAGTATACAAGGGCTGGAAGTACTGACTTTAAGAGCTCTGCCATGAACCTTCAGTGGAAAACAAAACAAGACACCTAAACCAGCCCCTCACACATTCAGTGGCAAGAGATGGGGAAGGTGAATATCACTTCTGAAATGCTAAACATACTTCTTTTTAGGTTCTTTGCAGTTTTGCCCACACTGTTCTGATCTGGGTCAGTGCTCCTAGCAGCCACTTCCATAATCCTGTCCTGAAATACTTCCAAAGCTCACATTTCTGTACTCCTTCTACACAGACAAAGCTGGATGCTTTCCACCAGCTGTGCTGAGCAGACCAGTGGGTTTCATGCCCCTGTCAGCTCACTGCAGAACAAGGAGAAGAAACTCAATGGAGGTTACAGAGCTATTTACTGTGTGCCCACAAAATCTAAAGAAAACCTAATTATCAAATTTAAATGTAATACAGAAATCAAATTCTACTGTAAACACTTGACATTATTCTCACAAGACTTAAAAATCTACATGTGGAAATCCATTTCCCCAAACAGGTCCTTTTCTCTAAGCTTTACACAGAACCCCAGTCTGTCCAGAGCTGGAATCCCTTGCTCTCCTACAGAGCTGATTCACTTGACATCTTTTAACAATTCTATTAGAGAGGAAGGTAGTACAAAAACCAAAACCAAACCAAAAACAAGCCATACCTTTTTCCCCTGAAGGAAACCAATCCCCCTGATGGAATGAACCTCAGGAAAGAGACTACGGAAATAAATCCCTTCCAAAAGCTCACTTTCTCAGAAAGACAAGTAAATAATTCCAATTGTGTTTCCCTCCATTTAAATGGGGAACAGAATTCAAGAAAAAGCAGATTTGCTATGAAACCAGTGCAGTGAACTCAAATAAACTGGTGTTTAAAAAGCCCTCTGAGGTACATTACGCTACAACAAACCAAAGACCCAACAACAGAGAGGCCAGATCATTCTCTGGCTGTCAGGCAGCAGTTCCCTGGCTCAGCACAGAACCACCCTGAATCACACTGACCACTGCTTTAGTACCTCTGCTTGGCCAACACATGCCTTCAAAACAAAACAAACAGCACAGCCTGTGGACACTGAACAAGGCACAAGTTCCTCTGGCCACTAGACGTCCCTGTTCCTCCTCCAAAACGCAGCTGTGGATGGATGTTCCCTTCCCTCACTGCACATAATGGAGCTATAAAAAGGAACACAGAAGAAGTGACACTTTCCCCAGATATAGCACATTCTTATTACCCCATTCATGAATGAAACACATGTTTAATGCTCTCCAGATTCAACTGGCCACCATGAGTGCAATGCCTACTTCTGTATTACCCAAACTGCAGATCCCCAGAGGTGACGTGGCATGGAGCAATTCTACTGTAAGTTCAGAGCACCCCAGGAAGGAGGCTCAGTGTCCAAGCAAACACAACTCTACAGTAACACTGGATGCTAATTTGAGGCTTGTTACTTCGTGATTCAGACACTTTTCAGACACAGACACCCCATGTTTTATAAGATCAGGCTCAATGCTTTGACTCCTTTCTGTTGCTTAAAAGCAACTGAATGTTGGGTGACTGGAAAAAAGAAAAGCATATTAGTTATCTCCCTCCCCCATACACACACACATACACACACACACACCGAGATTTGTCTTTGGTATAAAACAAAAGTAAACCTCCCACCAGACCTTGGAAATCTTGAACCTTTTTTCCCTCCAGGAGGATTTATTACTTTCCAATGAGCGGCTGTTCATGTGCTTCTCCTTCTTGTTCCTATTCATAGGGTCAGATCCTGACTAGCATGCACAACCTCAAAAGAAAAGAAAGACTGAATACAAACTGTTTAAAAAAATAGCCTGTTAAAAGTGTAAGCTAACTAGGGGTTGGCACTGTATCCTACCACACAACGAACTGCCTCCAAGGGCCTTACCTTGTAGGCAACGCTGTTGGAAGAATCCACGATGATGAACAGGGGCTTTCTGGTGAAAGGGTAGAGATCTCCAGGGTGAAGGCTGCAAAAAGAAAGGGACACCTTACTGCACCACAACTGCTGCACAGCTCTGACACTGCACAAGTGTCTCAGCCACACAGTTGCCCACAGCCAGATAAAAAGCAGAATGATTCCCCATGACCCAGTACCCATATTCATCCTCAGAGAACAACTGCACTAGTGTCTGTATTTGTCTACAATACAGGCTGTGAGACTTATTAGTTCAGGAGATTTTTTAACTTCTTGAGAGGTCATCCACCACTGATCTGAAGTTTGCCAGTAATTAAGAATTTATATTAACTAACTTCCATAAGTAAGGCTGAAATGTTTAAACAATCATTTAAAGCTGCACATTCATTTCTAAGTGTTTAAGCCAAGTCCCATTATGATGTCCTGCACCAAGGAGTTTGAGCTCCAGAGGCGGTGATGCATTTTTCTCTACTAAAGACAAACTCCTGTGAATGTGCAGGTGTGCACCACAGCACTCACCAGTGCATCTCCTTGTAGGACTGGTTGCGCTTGTGGATGGCGTCCCCATTGATGATGTCCCGGTTACTGTTGGTCAGCACACCCCCAAAATCATATGGACCTTCACGAGGGAAAAGGAAGCTAAAATCAGCAGGGGCAACTCACCCCTGCTAGTATATTTAGTGATTACATGAAAGGGAGAAAGCAACAAGAAATCCCAGAAAACTAAGGGAATCTGAACTACTGCAGTTGTAAGGAGGGGAAAGAGGAAAGTGAAGACTTCACTAACTGCATATTCCTTTTTATGCTTTTTTAGAAATTCCAGCATCTATCCAATAGAAGCAAGGAATGCAACTTCATAACTTTTAATTTAATTATTCACTATTTATCCACAAACATTAATGCAAATGACCCAAATATTGTCTCTTGTTACACTACAGAGAAAAAAGATTAAAACCCATTAAATGTCTGATACAGGAAAAGCAATACCTTTGTAAAGTTACTGCATGAATTTTCATATTCCAGATTCAGAATTTAATCAAAAAACAAGGCTAAATAAATAAAAAAGACTAGAAATACTACTGTCATTTGCAGTTCTAACACTGCAAAGGAGAGAAGCAAGAACTCAGAGAATGACAAAGGAACAAAACAGCTTTAACCAGATTTCAAATCTGCAGCAAAGGTTTGTATTTCAAGATTTCAAAGTCAGAATTCACAATTTTCACATACACACAACCCTGGACATGTGTTCCCACTGTAAGCTGAATATAAATTTGCAAAACTGAGCTACCCCCTGAATGAATGGAGAGCAAAGACAAAAGCAATGGCTATAAAAAATATCAAATCCTACAAGATACCAAGAAATATTTCTGCCATTGGTATGGGTATGAAATGTCACTAACTTCAGTAAAATAAAGTATTAGGGTTTCCTCATTCTGTCATACATTTGCAGACTTGGCTGACCCACATTTGGCCACCAAATGCAATTTTTTCAGGTTTGGATACAAGGCACCTTTCCATTTTAGGGAAGCTTTGGGGATACAAAATCAGGAACAGAACAAACATTAATTTAGCACTGTTACAAACACCTCACATGGTCTGCCAAACACACGGCTTGCAGGCAATACACAGTGCAACTTGCAGCTGCTCTCCCTTTTAATAAGGCAGAAGTGTGTGCAGACCACAGTGCCTTATTAAAAGAATGCAGTTGTGATGGATTCACTGAGGGAAAGCTGCACTCTGGCTGTGCAGCTCCTCAGGTGGCTGAGCCCAGGTGCCTCTGCCACAAGGTCTTAAGCTGAAACAATACATGCAGAGAGGGGGACATACCACAGGCTTCAGAGAACACACTTCAGTTAGGACCTATCACCAAGCTGCAGAAGTAAAATGTTAAAAGCATTTAAAAAAAAAATCACTGCCACCATCCAAAGCTGACAGGGATTTTTTTTTTCTTTTAACATTTTGAGAGCTCTATAAATCATGCACTGGGGAGGACAAAGCATGCATCTTTATAAAGGAATGCAAGTCTCAAACAGATGAGGTTTTACAATATTTAGGATGTTAAAAAGTTATTTTGATTTTTTTTCTTGAATTATATAAACAGATTTTTGGACTGTGTTTACTTCAGCCAACCAGTTTTCAGCTTTTACATTGCAGCTGCATCCAAATATTCTGCTAGATTGAAAAGAACAGGAGGGTGAGGTGAGGGGAATTGTCAAAAATCATGAGAAGGGCTTGAATTGTCAGGTTAATGAGCGTGCAAATAGACCAGTCCCTGCAGCTGCTTGAGTCCTTTCACCACCCATGTCCGGGCCACACGTTCTCCTGGTGCCGGGCATTGGAAAGAATCAGAGTGCCACTGAGCCATTTTATGAACTTTGTGCTGATGCATCAACTGAGCCATGTGGTCTTCAAAATTGGAAGGCTTTTAATATTTCAGATGCATCAAAAACTGGATGTGTCCTTTGAAAAGTTCTCAGGTTAATGCACACTAATCAAAACACAAAGATTAAATTACTGTTTGTGGAAAATAAAGGCTATCTTACTAAGTAGACAGGAGAATCGAATTGACTTGTCTTTTAAAAGGAGCTTTGTGACATCTTTCTTGGTCACTTGTCCTGGAACATAAAGAGAATTCAAGCCCTGTTCATGACAGGGAGCATTCCTTTATTGTACCTTCACTATCCGAACGACCTGATGGGAACACGCCCGTGGCAGACAGGTAAATCAGCAGCACGCTGTTGGCAGGCAGCTCCTGGAACACAAACAAGGGGACCAGTGGCAAGGGAAGAAAGGTACAAGTTTATTTTAACACTGAATCATCACCTTCACAAACACATTGTCATCATAATTGTGCTACTGCTTCTGGCTCCCCTCCACTCTGCTCTTGGTACATGGATTTGCCCTGCCCCACTATTTACACCCCTTCCAACAGACCAGAAGTGTCACCTCATTAAAAGTCTCTAACTTTCCTCCACACAAACCTCTAGGCTGATATCAGAGCTCCAAGCAGCACTGAGAAAGCATCTGCTTCCACACAGTCTTTTACTATTTGTCCAGATCTGAGGCTCTCCAGGATATGGAACCCAAAAGCTTCCAAGATCCACACAGACCCCAACTCCCAGACAATTCACAAGGGAAGCTTTGTTTACAGTTTGAATGGGATAGAGGACTGGAGATTCTGCAGCTATACAGTGCTCGAGAGCAACAACCTCCTGATGCACTTCCCTGATTCTGGTTTGTGCTTTGCATGCTAGGAAATGAAAGAATACTCTTAAGATTTTTCTATTCTCCAGATCAGTGGAATCCACATTTCATTCAGTCTCACAAGCAGTCCTGGGTATTTTTTTATTACAAATAAATTCACTGATTTCACAAACCTTAAATGACGCTGCTAAAAATGTATATAGCTGGCTGAAAGTTGGTTTATAAAGTAGGTATTTGTGGGGGTTTTCCCGCCTGGCTGGTTTCTCTGTTGACTCCTGTTAAAAGAAAGAAACAAAATACTACTCAAAAAACCCCAACAACCAGATATTATCAAAGCAGTTTCATAACCCTCTAAATCCTGCTTATTAGAATGCTCATCTCCAACACACTACCCACACAAATGGTCTGCATCTCATCATTCTGCATTTCCTACTACACAATAAAGCAAGATGCACAGTACTCAAACCAGAACTTTATACTACCCCTCACTGAAAATTGTGAACTAAATCTTTCTTATTTTCTCAAGTATCACCCAAGAAATTAGTGACAAAATTCACACTTCATCTCAATTAAATAAATTAAAAGTCTTTATATTTTCTTTTGGCCCCAGATAGAACACTTGATGCTTTCTCTGAAGGGAACATTAACTTTCAGATGATTTAGCAACCTGATCAGTTCATGGATTTGAGCTATTCTTCACTAATTTCTAGTCAAGGTTACACCACCTTTACTAAGCTGCTCTGCACAGTGATAATACTGAAGGAGTGCACTACTTAAACCAATCAATCAAACAAAAAACCCAGTTAAGATGTGTTGTCAGGTTTGTTACTGAAGTGGAACTCACCTGCATTCCAGGTTTGTTCATTTGTGATGCCAAGTTCATGGGTTCCCTCTCCAGGGCTTGCAGCATTCGGAACATGTCGATTGTTAATTCACTGAACTTGACCTGCAAGAGAGTCACACAGTTTATTCTGCCTGATACACATTAAACAGAATTTCTCTGGAATAAACCAGCTAAGAGACTACACTGCACACCAGAGAGACTATTCTCTCTCAGGGATCTGTCAGTGTCATCTTTGAATCTCTAAAGAGCTGTGACTGACTTCTAGAAGAGCTCACAGAAGACAAAGTCTATTTGTTACTGATCTACCAGGCCAAGTCACTGTACTGCAGACCCCTGCTTCCAAATTACAGGCTTCTCTGGGATGTGTACAACTCAGGTGCTGAAATGGCTATGTACTATGAATTCAGAAAAAAATCTGACAAAGACAGATGAAGTGTAGTTTGAATACAATTCCCTTACCTGAAAAGAGCTCAGAGAGAAGTAATGAAATTTGTACAACTACACTATCATTATCATCTGAAAACAGGATGTAGAATGTCTTTTGAAAACCTCTTCCTGTTGCCAATGAAGTTGCAACAAGTTGGAGTGAGTCATATGAAAGCTTAAGTCAAGCTTTTTCTAGAGGTCTCTTAGAGGTCTCCCATGCTTGCATGTTGTTACAAATAAACCAGTATATGAAAATCAATTGTATCTACTCAATTGACATGTTGAATATAAGCAATAAGAGGTCTGTATCACAGGTCTCATATCTAACATTTCATTTTTAGCTCTTATTTCTGAGAACCCTCTTCCTCTTGCTACTACTGGAACCATCACAATAAAAATATTTCAATGTTCTCCTCTGTTGGAAATCTCTGTTGTATGATCAGAAGGGATGTCATGGGGGGGCTCCAAAGATGCAAACCCAGGTGCACAGAATTTCCTTTACCTGGTTGTTGCAGTTCCCAATAATGAGCGCATCTGCAAGAGCAAGCTGTCCCACTATCATCCCCTGCTCCAGCAACGGAGCTCCCGTCTCAGAAAGCCTGTTAGAGGTGATTACAATGGTGTTGTCATCATTTAAAACCATGACAGGGTCTGCCTAAAAAAAGCAACCAGAATAAATCAAGAATTCAGGAAAGCATACAGATTTGCAGTCAGAGAGAAGTCCACAGATCTTGGCACTTACAATAAACATTTCACAAATGAGGCAGATTTTTTAAATTACTTTTCCATACATGTATCTATGTATTTGTATGCAGGCTACAGGGTAAAGCCTTCCCAGCTGGAAAAGCAAAGTTCTTAGAGACTGCAAGAAATACATGTGACAAGCACAAGGTACAGCAGAGAGAAAAGCACACTGCCTCCAACAACATGGACTCTGCTTCAGCTTCACTATGCCTGAGGAGTCAAATGTCATCAACAACCTTACAAATTCATGCAGAATAAACTAAATATTCCTACATTCATAATAATTTTAGCTTGCCTATTTTAGCTTACTTCCCTTGTAGAAATGAATAGCAAAGGAGGAGAGTGAATGATAATGCTGCCACTCATTCTGGCAATATTTAAATATTCCTGTGAACACGTGTCAGTGATTCATGGGACCAGGATCCTGTCCCTGCACTGGCACACCTGTTTCCCTCACAGATGTGGTGATACAGGAACACTTCCATCAATAAGACAGGAAGCTCTGAAACAACTACAGGGAATGGTATTCTCACCTCAATAAATGCTGCCACTTCCTGAAGAACCAGGTTCCACTCCACCTGATCTTCAGTATTGAAACGATGTGTGTAGTCTTCAATTTCATCTGACAGCTCCTGATGCAAACAGTTCAGACAGACACAGTCAGTCCTAAAACCAGACTTTAACAGGCAGTCAGTAACCTTATATTTGGTGAGATGTGCTGGCCTTTAAGAATAATAAATAAATAAATTCCTTGAGAACATATGCAGCATACTCCTGACTAACATGCCAGCCAAAACGCGCTCTTTCAGCAGACAGAATGCCAATGTTACACTGAGTTCTGGCAATGCAAATTGTCTTTTACGTAGGTCCAAATGCAAAGAATATCTGGATGTAAGTATAATTATCCCACTCACAGCTATGTCACTGCTTATTACCATAAGCTACGGATACCAAGGACTCAAATTTCAGCTTGCAAGTAACTTTAAATACCTTGAGAAAGGGGATGGTGTGGCTGGTTTAGCCGTGCTAAGCTAAGCCTGCAGTTCAAGGGAGCTGTGACACAGACAGCAATGCAACCTACACAAAGCTGTCAAGCCCAGGAACTGCTTGAAGCGAGGTTGTCAGAGAGGCTGGGAAGCATATGCTGTGGGGAGCAGCTTGCTGTTCCTTTGCTGCACTTCCAGGGCATCTCCCTCTCTGGGCTGTAGCTATTGGAATATTTTTACTTGCTGTTCAAACAATGCTACCAAACCACTTGATCTTAAAGTGTCATTATTAAATGTCTGCATCATGGAAGGAAGGTATTCCCTATGTTGGATGTGAGATAGACTAGAAAAGCAAGGATCAGCAACCTCCTACCCCTCAGCCCCTTTATCCTGATTTTAGCATACCTTTACAAGGTCCTTTACAACATCCATCTTGTTGAGCAGGAGACAAACCACTATAAACCTTGCATAGTAACGCAGCTTCTTAACCACTAATTCGGGCCTAGACACAACAACAAAAACATCACAGCCAAATCTGAGATCAAAATAGAACAGAGGCAGGTATCAGGGGTAAGGGAGAGGAGGAGTTTAAGACCAGAGCAGGGCTGAACACTTGCAGATTAAGAGTTCTGACTGAACTCATGTGCTGATGAATAGGCACTTGGCTGCTTGGAGGTTTAGTTAAAATTGAGCATAGGGACATAAAAAATTTAAGAAAGCCATAGCCTCCTTACATGCCAGGGGCATGGGAGTCAGATATCATGGCTGGCTCTTCAAACTTTGCTGTACTGCAGTACAAGCTGCTGCTCCCCTGAAAGGCCTGATGAGAATCATATAGATTCCTCTGCTTCAGCCCAGCTGACCCATCTTCCACCCACAACATCACGACTCCTGGCACTGATACTGCTCAGGATTTAAAATGACAAAACTTTGGGGCTAATAGCCTTCTATCCAGGACCAGGTAACAGAATATTCTTCCAGTCATACAGCACAGCTCTTATTTATCCTGAATTTTTCAACCATGGCAGAAGGATTAAAAGAAACTTCCTTCAACAACATGGATTTTATCCTAGTTGTGTTCCTACAGTTTAGAGTTCCTTGCCGTTTCTACACACCTTCTGGTCTTGAAAAAGCAAGGGCCTCTATTCAGACATACCTGTCTTCTTTGTTGACTTGGGAGTAGTAGGACCTCTGCCTAATTGCTGAGTAGAAGGAGAAAGCCTCGTTGAGATAGCTGGTTTCGGAGGTGCGCAGGCTGCAAAGGAACAAGGCCATCAGCTCACTGCCTCAAAGGAAAAGCCATGCCAAACCCTCCCTTCCTGCCCCTCAGCCATGGGCATCCATGGCAGAACTCCCTCCTCAAGTGCCACCGTATGAAAGCCACACTCGCTCTGGGAAGGCAGATGTCAGAGCTTGGATCCCATTTCAAGTAACAATCAAAGCTGCCCATCTTGCACCCACATGTACAGGTGACAGGGTCACTGAACAGTTTAAAGGAACATTAAGCTCCCAAACTTTTAAATCACACTTTTGCACAACATTCCAATGCAGCACACATGGAGGACACTTTGGAGGCAGGATTGAAGTCCTTGGGCAGTACCAGCATGACCAGCACCAGGCTCACAGGGGCCCTTCCCTGCAGCACCCCATGCAGTCCCCAGGACCCTCATTCAGAAACAGGCACCGTGACTCAGCCCAATCACTGATTCCTCCTGACTGAGCATCCAGACATTTGACATGCAGCTGCCACTAACCCTGCATTGCCCTCTTCAATCCTCTTCTGTGCTTACTTACTAATAATGGTAATAGAGCTGCCCAATCTTGGAAGCAATTTCCCCAATTTGCCACCTCTTCAGCCCATACCGATTGTCCAATACTTGTCTATGTCGCAGGAGAGAAAAGAAAAATTAAAAGGATTCCCAAATTTCCCAGAACATCCCACCAGACAAGACAAAGAGCCATTGCAAGGCCAAATTCAGCTTTCATTACTGGTGCAGCATTGCCAGCAGCAGCCCCTCACAGAGCCAACAGCACACACACCCCACAACAAGGGCCATTTATCTTGCATAAACTTGCCAGAACCAGACATAAGTGAGTTGCACAAAATGCAACAAAAGGTCACAACTTCCCAGGAGAACATTCAGACTATGTAGCCAGAGGAAGGTGTGAAGGATCAGAGCCCACGCTGCAGCAAGAGACTTCACACCATTCCAGATTCTGCTCTGCAGAATCCATCACCTCCTCAGTAAGAAATTAAAGCGCCACACACTCAGGTAGAGCAAAAGGGTTTGTTAAAAAAGTCACACTGAACACTCTGCAACATTTTAATTCAATAGACTGTGAGCACTGCAGGAAGCAGCTGTTCCCTCCCTTCATGCTTGAACAACAAAGTGAAATCTCAATCTTAGCTGAGGCCCTGGGCATTCCAGAGATTAAAGCTGCACTTAAACCCACACAACGCATCTGCCTACAACATTTCCTTACCGGTGCTGCTGTTGGAACTTCCAGAGTTTGGTGTAAACATCAAATGTTCGCCCAAAATAGGACTGCCACTGCTTCTGCCCATACTGAGGTAAATCCCTGCAAGAGACAGTGACAAAAGCAGAATTAAAAAGCAGAATCCAGTCAGCCCAACATGACAGGAGCATGTTTGTGTCCAAGTCAGAACTGCTTTGTTCAGGATTCACTTGACATACTTTAGAATTCTGCCCGCACCTAGAACTACAAGAACCATGACTGCCAGTTTTTCAAAACCTGTTGTTACTGGATCTCTCCAAATAGGAAACAATCATGTTCCTGCATGCAACAGGTGTTTGAAAAACATCTTACAATTTTGCTAAAAGAGAAGTCATTTTATGGTTATATGCACAGAAAGACAAACTGCACTGCTAAAATACCATAATACAGGAAAACCCTACCCAAGAGCAAGCAGAATAACCCAGTGGAAATTAGTTAATTTAGACTGATAATATTTATTGTTAATCCTTAAGGAAATAATCTTTTTCAGATGGATACTGCCTTGTTTCAGAAGCAGAGCCTATGACATCCCCCAGTATCACCAGGTCAGGCCAGCATATGGATGCTCACAGTTAACATTCACTGGGTTCTGCTACACCATCACCACATTTGTCACCCTCTAACTCAGCCAGTGACAAGACACAACCTGAGAACTTCTGCTTTTTTTCCAATCAGTCTCCAGTGCTACAAGGTGAGTCAGTTAACCCAGTTCAGTTCTGCTCTCCCACCTCCCCTCAATTTCCTTGCTGCTGTATATTTCCACCCCACAACTATGACATATTCCTAAGGATTTTGGCTTTAATTTAAAGGTTTGTGCCCTCAACCCTCACTCCTCCCATTTCCCAGGAGTGACCTGAATCTTGAAACAAATGCAACAGGGGAGACCAAACTCCCGAGTCCCACTGAGCACACATCTACACTAAAGCTCATTTGAAGAAGGTGCACAACCCTACAAGTGGAAATAGCACAGGTTTTCCAAGACAGAATCCTCTTTCACTTGATTCAAGATTGATTTCCACAAGGAATTCTCTCTCAAATCACTGTGCTGGTTCATGTACCACCTTCAGCAGACAGAAAAGCAGCACATTCCATTTCCAAGCCTGGAGGGTAGAAACCAAGGGAAGCACCACCTTTAGGAAACCTTGCCATGTACTCCGAAGGAGTCAGAGAAGCAGAGCAGTACACACCATTTCAGAGCAGCATTCTGGCCTGTTTCTGCTCACTGTAATTGCTTTAACAGCACCCGAGGTAGGAAAGGAAATTAATATTCCTCTGCTTGTCAGCCAACTGTACTTCCCACACAGCTTGAAGGGACCTAGCTCAGCTACTACAAGTAAAATGAATCCCTTACCAGCTACAGCTCTCACCAGCCTGGGAAAGCATTCCAGTACTTGGTGCTGATATTCCATGAAGATGCCAAGGAATCTGGGCAGGATTTTACCAAATTGAAAAACAAAAAAAATCCCTTCAAGCTTGTAATTGGCTCAAAATCTTGCAACGTATGTTGATGTAGCAAGGGGTAAACAGGAATATAAATATGTGCTTCAGGGTGCCAACATCTTCATTCAAATACAGCTTGACACAAACACATGCAAATTTAAAGCATTTTCTGCAAGGAACAATTCACCACCTTCTCTTGTTGTAATAGACGTAAACATTTTAGCTAAACGAAAGAAGCTAAGGCACTGTCTAAACACACACCCAAGATACAGCACAGACTTTGATATGCAAAGCAAGAGGTAGCTTTAATTTAATTAGCACATCCACAAGATTCAATGTTAAAGTATATATAAAAAAAGAATATAAATACAACACTAAAATTTTTTTTTTTTTTTTTTAATTATACAAATAAAAGTTCCCTGGCACTAATTTGCAGAATGAATGAATTAACAAGTTGACTTGAAGAACCCTAACCCAAGAAAACACCCTTCCCTCAAACACTGGTATCTGCACAAACTAAGAAATAAGCAGGTAACTATGGGCTGATGATGCTCATGCATCTATCCCTCATTAATAAGCTAATTAACACACTCTCTAAACCTCACCTGTCACCTCCCCATCCCACACCTTCCTCTTCACAAGCCTAAACATTCTAACATAACCTAAACATGAAACCCAGCTCAACTAACTGTGCTATATCAGATTTGAGCATCTGAAAATTGGTGGTGTTTTAAGAAGCCTCTGTGGGTACAGAGTCTGTGTGTTTGGCCGCTGCTGTCCACAGCCGCTGCTGGGTGTCCACACGGATATTCCTCGTGCTCGCCTAATTGCAGCTGGCATAGCTGCACAATACCATGGATTCCTCAGCTCCCCAGGGAACGGGAAGGATCTCCATGGAAACAGACAGTAGCACTTGTTCTTTTGATAGTATTCTGACATGGCTGTAATAAAACTTCATTTATGACAATACATTACTGTGGTTTCACTACAGCTTTTCGTAGACAAGAGCTGCCCTTCCTGCCACCCCTTTACTGCTCTGTGCTGACCATCACACATGCTGCTCCCACATACCAAGAAATTTTGCCATGAGAAAACATATGCATAAGCAAAAGAAGGCATTTAGTGCAGGTTTTTTTAATAGAACATGGGGACGTGCACTATTTGGTGAGAAATAGCCCAAAAGAATCCCAAAGCCTCAGCTGATTGCAGAGTGGCCTTTTAACACAGCTCCTCCCACCACAGGAGACAGGGAATACATGACCCAGAAGCAATTATACACCCACCTTGAGACCTCAAGACCTGTTACAGCAAGATTTTTGCTACTTCCAGCTCTACAGAAGGACAGCAGAGCAGTGAGGATAGACCAAGGCAGCAGGTTTTCCCGTGGGGTGTGCCCAGCCCAGGCTGCTGGCTCATAGACAGCAGCAGGGTGCACCCACTCTGGCTGAACACCACCACAGGAGGGATTAAGAGGCAGCCAAATTAATCCAAATGCAGAGGAGGGGCTGGAGATTTGATTCGGGACAGTACAACAGCCTGCAACAACAACTGGAAACCATCTCAAATTTCTTGGCTTTTAAAACATTCCAAATGTGATGTGAAGATACTCTAGAACTGATGTTCTAGAAGGACGGGTTTCTCACACTGGGCACAGAAGACTGGTTCTCTTGCTGCACTAGTGTGGCTGGTGGATAAATTTCACACAATCCAGAATTTTATCCAATTCTTGCTGTACTCTTTGTCTCCACAAAGACCAGCACTACTTACATGCTCATAATTAATTCTGTCAGGAGTTCATTTCAGTCATGCTGCCAGGTAATACTGGCTGAAACCAAATTAAAGGTGCTGAGGTGTGTTTGGCCAGTGCCACATGGAAGTTGTCACATAGGGACATTAAAGATATTGAGAAGGTCCTAGAGACTCAGCAGTACGCTTCAAAGGAGAAGGCTACAATAACTGTAAATTTAACATTCAAAGCTTTAAATACATTCACAGTTTTGACAGGTGATAAAAAGAGGTAATTTCCTTTCATGTTCATGGGCTTGTAGTAGTTACAAGCTCCTATTCCCAGAACCTGGGCAGCAGTGGGATCAAAGTGCTGTGGCACAGAGCCAGAAGGTACCCCCTGAGCCTCCTTTCTTCATGCTGAGGCCCCCCGGCTCCCTCTGCTGCTCCTGGTGTTCCAGACCTCTCCCCAGATTTGTTCCCATCCCTGGACACTCTCCAGTCCCTCAGAATCTCTCTTGCCATGAGGGGCCCAGAACAGGACAAGTCGTCTCACCAGTGCCCAGTACAAAGGGATAATCACTACCCTAAAATATAGTTATGGAAAGTTTTTAAATTCCTTGAAGTTTCATGCTTCTTTGTGATACTGAACACATTTAAGTACTTTTTAACATTTAAAAGAAAATAATATCAGTGACAATACACCATGACAAACTGCTTCCTTATACCTTCCCTCTTCCCAGCCTTTTTCAAGAAAAAAATCAAGTGGGAGTGGGTAAAGGGGAGAAGAGAACCATCGCAACATACTTCATTAACAGTGTATTCCAACTTATAGCCCAGAGTAGAGACACTAGAAAGACAGCCCCCCTGGGTTATCCTAGCAGGCACGGCCACAGGGGATGCTATCACTGGGAGCACGAGCACAAAGTACACTTTCGAGCAGCAACCTTGGCAGACCATCATATGTTTTCCTCAAATGCTGTATTTGGCATCTGTATTGGGAAGAGAGGAAGGAAATGCTACTGAAACAAAGACGTGGCAGGCTGAGCCCTTGCAATTTTTGGCAGCAGCAACAGCTAAGCAGCTGCCAACACAGCTATAGGCTCAGCTCCCTGTAGCTGAAGTGCCCAAAGGAGGTTTTGGGAAGGAAATTATTGCTCTCCTCTCCCTCCCCCATTACTTCTTTTCTATGAAACGTGGTAGGGGCAAGAGAATAGCATAAAACACAGAGCAAAGGCCATCATCATCTTCAAAACAGAAGGTGTCAGGCATGAATCAAATGCATTTATTATGCTGGAGGGAAAAGCAAGCAACTGGACTAAGAATTGGGATGCTTGCCAAGACATTTCCAGGTGAACTCCCCAGAGAACAAGCACTAACAGAGAAGATACCTGAGAATTATAATGTTGCTTTATCCTGTCATTATGCCCATGGGAATCACAGGTCTTAGAGGTGAAATGGTGGTCAAGTGTAAGAACTAACTGTGCCAGGTTACAGTAAGGACAAAGGCAGGTGTCCATTCTGCAGTGTTCCTATTTTCAGACGGCAGAACTGGCTGCTTAATCCCATCTCTATTTTCACTTGTCATACTTCATCCAAAGTTATTTTCCATTTTCTTTTCATTTAGCTGGACAAGAATGTTTCTTTCTGGAAAAGTACTGTGGATATACTGAGAAACTCCATCTCTCATCTCAAAATCTGATACAAGCAGTACCTCCCTCCATGGCCAAAGCAGAGACAGAATGGCTGGAGGTTCTCTGCCACCTCTCTGATCTGAACTGGAGCAGCATGCAGCCACACATGAATTGTGTTCATTTGTACTCTTCAGTGACTCAATCCAAAATTTCAAGCAAAATCTATCAGAAAGCCAATGTAATGTCATATAGTCCTGGAAATCCTGGTCTCAAGATCTCAATCCTTTCGCTTTAGACTGTTTTTCATGGGGGGAGGTGGGCGGGGGGGTCAAACACAATCACCAAGAACTCCTTGTCCCTACTGCCCATTTGCCATTCAGATTTTGGAGCACAAAATGTTTGTTTTGGATTTGGTAATCAACTTCTAAAGCACATGAAAGGATTATCAATAGTGGGGGGCGGAGGAATTAAAAGCATCTTTGCTAACCATCTGTGTTTGACTAACAGCAAGCTATAAGGGCCCAAACATACAGCATTACTCAGAAACCAGTAAGAGGCTGAACTGCCAACCAGATATGAGCTCAAACCCATTACTTAAGAGACTACAGCAAAGCTTAGAAATAAAGCAGCTTTGGATACATGCTGTTTAACTCAGCATATATTGACATAAACAGGATATCCATATTACTGTCCAAACATGTATTTCTCTGCAGACAAACCAGTCAGACTTTCCAGCTGTTGTTGCAGCTGCTTAGTAGATAAATGTAGATTTTACCTTTCTCCACAGCTCAGATTAAGTACTTGTTTCACCAGACACATACAGGATATGGTTTCAATGTTTCTGTTTATCACTTCCTAAATTTCTTCCCCAAAGATATTCCCTCTCTTCCTTTCCTCGCATCCAGACCAATCCTCCTCATCCTTATTTTTTTCACAAAGACAGTAGTGGCTTGGATTTGGATGCTGTGGACTGCACAGTCACACCTCATCCTTAATTGTGGCCTTCAAACACACCATTTCAGTAATAATCACATCAATTTCATGGGATTTCCAATTTCTAGTGTACTAGAAACTGGAATCTCTGCTCCTACAAACATTCTTACATATATAGTCCAAAAGTACCCATACAGAGGTGCATTGTTCTCTCCTAAACAAACTTACTGGGTTTGGGTTTGAAATGTTCACTGTACAATTCACTTCAGCATCACACACTGCAGTGTGTGTTCCAAGGCTTTTTTGAAGGAATACTGTCAAAAATCCACTAACCTTAAGCCATTGAAGAGCTGCTTAGATTTATCCAGTAAGTAGCAAAAGTCTGTCACAGTTTTTCTCTCTGCTTGAGGAATATCATCTTCAGCTCCCCCTGATGACATGATTTCTTTTATGGCAAGCTCAGTCCTATGAAGAAAAAAATAGCCATATTACTCAAAAATCAAGGGCTGCTATGAACTCATCCAGACTGAGATGCATGTTCAGTTCCATGGGGATGTAACACAGAGCATGCAATTCTCCACAGGTTACTCTTCCCAAGACTCATTTAAAAAAAAACAGCTGAGAATCCAAGCATGGGACTAATTACTGCACACTGCACTAGTTAATACAGCAAAATGAAAAGTATCAGTGGTACAACAGTCACAAAATAAAATAACTCTGAGAACTGTCTTCACAAACACAAAACTGACAATGAAAGGACTGTAGCACAAACAACACACAGGTTTCACACTTGGACAAATAAATCCTCTCCAAATTTGCCTTCTGCAGAGGTATTTATCCTGCAGCTGTATTTAGAGACCAGCCACAGTTCTCTTTACATTTCATTTTCTTCTGTAAATGCTGAAAACTGTAGCTCAATAGCTCCTATTGCTAAAACAAGGGAAATTTAGCCAAAATGCTAAAAAGTACCATACCATCCTTCCTCTCTGCATCCTCCTAACTGTTTGATTCCATGGTGGCATTGCCAACAATCATAACTGCAGATCTGTTTCATACCTGCAGATCTGTTTTTATTCTTCACATGAGTAAAATGTTACATTGTACAAGAATCATCTGAAAAAAGACTAGGATATAATGTAGATAATTGTAGAATTGAGTAAGCAAGGGAATATGAAAGCTTACAGAGGCAGAGTGGCTTTAAAAATCTTAATCCAGACATACACAGATATCAAATTTTCCTTTTGAGCCTACAAAGATGAGCTACAGATTTTGCAGCAGAAGCAACAACCAAACATCTCTGAAAATGGCTGCTAGATCTTCAGCTCTGCCATGCTCAGGATTTTTGTGCAAGATAAACACACCTCTAACTGGGCAAATGCAGAGCTTTTACTTCCAGCAGCTTCCCTACCAGTTCTGGTAAGTGTTTCTGTTAAGCAACCAGCTTCCATTTGTGCAGCAGCTCTATTTGGATGCTATCTGCACAAATAATTACCTACATACCCCAGTCCAAGCCAGGAAATGGCAAAGCTCACTCTTTCCAGCCATCAGGAAGCACCCAGAAGCATCTTTCAGCAACTGTCACAAAAAAATTCTTCACAATAAATAAGGAGGCTTCAGAAATGCTTCCCTGAACAAATATTTCATGCCCAACAAATGCAGAAGAAACTGGCAGTTTCCACCCAGCTTTTGGGGTAAGTTAGAGGGCCATCCTGCCAACCAAGCAGTCTCATGATTTCCCAGTTTAGACAAGATGCAGCCCACATATACTTGTTTATACACACCCATGTGACAGCGCATCAGAGCACCAGTGCAAGGCCATGGGGGCACTGCACAAACCACTTGTTGAAAAGCTCCAGAAAAAGGTAAAAAGTGTCTCTGTACTCAGGTAACTGCAACATGGGTGCCAGAGTGCAGAACATACCACCCAGTTGTCACAAGCTTTGGCATGAGCCTGGCAAGAAGGACATGAAGACTGTGAAGCACCAGCCTGTGTCTGAAACCTCTGAACATTCACATTTACACAGCACAGAACAAACAACACCAAGTACTTAAAGCACCAACATATAAGACTGAAGTGAACAGTGAGACCTAAAAAACAGATCCAAGAAGTAGCCAGGAGGTGATTCAGAAATTTCAGGAAGAGGGACAATACCCCAGGTCCTGTGTGCTCCACAGCAAGGGTGACCTAAATCCTGCAGCGAGCCCGTAGGTTCTGTGCTCCACCGTGGTAGTCCAGGCACTCCACAGCAGCTTCAGATACGTTTGCAAAAATTGAGGAGCTTGCTTAAGCTGCAAAGTATGTTTCATACAGTCTAGATATCAGTCTTTTCATTTCATAGAAGTGAATTTTATTTTACACTATCTTTAAGATATACTACCCAACAACCCCAAGCACTGCCAACATAACCGTGTTAGCCCTGGCCCAGGCAAGTAAAACCAACTAGGCTTTGGGTTGTTTTTTAAAACCAAGTAGCTCTCACATGCAAGGAGTTCACCAGACCCACTGTGAAGAGGCCATTTATGCAATCAATAAAAGATACACAAGAAAATCCATAGCCTGCCAATGTGAAAGGTATTGGAAGGCAAGAAAAATATGTGAAGCTGGCTTTTCCAGCTGACAGAGAAGGAAAATAGAAGTAGTTATCTCATGCACTGGTTTTGGCTTATCATGCTCTGGAGGGGGTGGTATTTGGTGCTGTACAAAGGAAGAGCTACTATCAGGAGCAGCTCGGGAGAGGAGGAGGTGCTCCTGCACTAAGGACTGTGTTGTAATGCAGCAGCAGTACAGACAGGAGGGAGAATTATTATTAGAACAGCAAGTGGGCACAGTAAAGGGAGGAATACAGCTCCTGACATTGCCCTTTCCTAAGGGACTGCTCAGCTCCAAATGAACAATATAAATAAAAAGCAACCAGGAACACAGCCACAGCGGGGACCTCTCCTTCCCTTTGATACTAGAAGTTATCACATGGATCCGTGCTCGTCTGCAGACAGACAGTTCTCCCAGTTTTGACAGCCCAACTATAGCAGGAATATCACCTACTTAATGTCTTGTTCTCTGTTTGATGCTTTTTGCTTTCTTTCATGCAAAAGAAACTGTTGGGCTGTTTTGTATGACAATTTTTCTTAAGTAACACGTTAAAAAAATGCTCTCCAGAGTCTGCAGAAGGAGACACTGAAACATTGGTTTAAAAGACTGTTAGAATAAGTCAGAAAATGGTGGCTTCCAGCAGAACTTATTATTGTCTCAGATTTTGCCAACTCCTCAGGCCATACAAGGCAGAAAACCCATGCTAGCCAAGCCCCACACGTGGTGTGCCAGGTTCTTCCCTACAAGCTCTCAGAACACACAATTCCAGGTTTTCTTAATGCAATACATTGTTGGATATTAGAAATCCATCCCATTGCAACACCCAGGCAGCAGAGCTTCACAGACATCCCAGAGGATGGCAGTTAAAATTGGAGCTGAAGGGCAGCAGGAGGAGGGACACAGGACAGGGATAGAGGTTTCATGGTGCTGACCACTATTTTTAAAGTCAGATGTCACTTACATCACACACGTCTCCACTTCCCTGTGGTTTGCTGTCTTTTGGCTAAGGTTTTCCAGGCTTAGCTGGAAGGGAAAAAGAATGCTGAAGTTAATGGTATGCACTCCCCACTAGCCCTGCCCTGGGATTCAGGCCTGCAAAGCAAGGCAGGCTTCGTAGCCGTGAGGGAATGACAATGCAAGCCCAGCATGGATATGTTCAATGAGTGCATTACATCCTCTCAGATTTGCTAGGTAGCATCACTGTAAGCTGCCATTCAGCTGCCTGCTAGAAGGGGAGGGTCATAACTTCCCATCCAACGCGTAGGAGCAAATAAAACCTCACACACTGGAGGTGCAGCTGTGGTGTAACCAGAGGGCACAGTGAACAGGAGGATGTCAGGGGTCTGTAAGCTCATGTATCAGCGAGGACAAGTAGAATCAGGAGCAGTTTACTGGGGCTGCACAGCAGTTGGCTGGACATGGCACCTTGACCTCCCAACAGAGCACTTGTACAACCCAGCTGCCTTTATTTAAGCCATAATTTCTTCTCAGTTATGGACTGGTTTTCAAATGCTTCCCACTTAGAGGCACAAGTGGTAACCAAAAACCAAAAGCAAACACACTTTGTTCATCTATGTTTTGATACAGGATTTCCCCCAAGCTAAGATGTTCCTAGAACTGCTCTCTACAGAAACCAATGGTGGAAAACACATTCCCGTCTATCAGGATTTTAAAGCTGTCAAACCTTGAGTCAGAGACCAGCTCTCTTTCCACTTTTCATCCTGACACATCTCCCACAGCATCACTGCCAAAAGGGGATGCGACACAAAGCCAGACACCCAGCTGGTATCTATTTCTTATCTGAAAATTAACAATACAGATAAAACTAAGCTCCTGATCGTTCATACACAAAGCCTGGATCCATCATGCCTCAGAACTCTATCAAAAATCAGCTGATCTTACCTTCACCAAGCAGGATGCCTACCTTGGCTTCCTATTTGCCTGTCCTTTTCTTCTGCAGACTGGCACACTCATGTCTCATGTTTTTTTTTCAACACTGTACTGCACGTTTTGGGAAAACCATCTGTGTGTTTCCATGTGATCTACTCAGAGTGCTAGTCCTGACAGAGCCTCAGACAACACAAAATGCATCAGAAACCAAATTCATTCCTCTTGCCAGAATACCTAACTCTCCATCAAGAGCCACTGCCCTGAAGTTCCCAAGACACCACTCAGTTCTGCCCAAGAAAAACTGAAATAAATAATCGGCAATTCCCCCAGACAGGCACTGAAAACCTCACAGCCTGCTAGAGTCAGGAATTCAGAGGGAATGGTAGTGAGCAGTTATATATCAAACCATTTCTTTATAAAATGGGGAGCGGGGGGGAGACTTCTTTATTATTCCAAGGTTTTTAGTAAAATTTGGAACCAATCACAGACATTCCTCACCCCAACCACTGTTCACCTCAGGGCATGTCTGCACTGCAGTGGCTGCAGCTCTTCCAGACAAATCCAGCTCCTTTTCCAGCAGCTCGTTGGATGCTGCAGGAGGCATCTGGGAGCAGGCTGAGCCCACACCTGAGCTCCTGGCAAGGCTCAGTCCCAGTGGACAGCAATGGCCAGGGCCAGCTCAGAGAACAACTGGAGCATTTCTGTCCCAGCTCTGCTCAGTGCTCTGTGCACATGGGCTGCACAAGGAAAAAGACATAGTCTGGGCTTTGGGGACACTTTTGTCTGAATGCCACAATGGTAAGCAACTCTAACTTAAGAAACAGAAACAAGTAGGTGTTGTATTTAACTGATAATGCTGGTCAAATAATATTCTCTCTGCCTAGAAGTTTGCTTATTTCAAAGGGCACTAAGGAGATATGAATTACAAGGGTGAAAGCCTGATTTCATATAAAAATTACAGCATGGCTGATAAAATCACATGCAAATACAACTAGGTACAACTACCTCCTATTGGGAATTCTCCAAGAAGCTGGTTTTCCTACTAAATGAATTTTTACAGCTAACTTGCAAAAATACTGCTACCTCCAAAGATTAGGCAAGAGGGAAGTCACTTTAAAAAAATAATAAAAACACAGAAAGGCCAGTGAGCCTGTGCATGAACACACCCACACTCCTGTGCAGGAACAGCCAGCGCCAACCATCGCTCCTCCAGGGACAGGCAGCCTGGTCCCCCATGGACCTGGATTGATCCTTCCCTTCGCATCCCAATAAACACAGATCTCCCAGCACAGGGAAAGGTTCCACTGCCCTGGTGATTCACACGTTCTGAGGAGCTGGCCAGATGCTTCCTACAACACAACGACTTTCTTCTGTCTGTCCTTCCCTTTAACAGACGCACTAAACACATCACTCTACTTCAACTTCTTTTGAATTTTGTGAAAGTTACTTGTGAGATAATCTTCAGGACCTTTCTCCCTAGAGCAACAACAGTTACATCAGACAAGAGATTTGATAGCTGCTTGAAGAAAAAGAAAAAAGAGGAACCCTGATCATGTAATTGCTTTCCTGAAAAAAGGGAAAGGAGCAGGCAGGGGATAAGTAAGAACACAAGATAAACCCACGCATGCACATTCCCCAGCTGCACACTGCTGTGGCCAGTGGAAGTGGCAGAGAGCAGGCACTCACAGTTACACAAGAACTGTTATACAAGTTGCACAAATTGTATTACTGCAAACTGAAAGTTTACTACTCTCACATGAACGCACAATTCCTTCCTCAGCACATCAGAAGATGAGAAGATCTGCTAACAGCCTCACAATAAGACCTCAGAGTTAAGGGGAGCTGCCACCTCTGCATTACCTGTGACATTTCAACAGGAACAGTCTCATGATTTCCAGTAGGAAAATAGGCAACACCACAAATTCAACTCCATTCTGAGTCAAATGAGTCAGAAAATACAATATGCAGTGTCAATCCCATTATTTTAACTTCAAGTAAGTGCTTCGTCTGGAATCAGGCTTTTCATATGTTTCAGACATCTTTTAAAATCCTTTTATTGCTTAGAAGCACACCTGTCTGTATCCAGAACTGCAGCTTTGGCATCTTTTCTCTCAGAAAAATGCGGAGGTGCTCATTAACATCATGCCATGGAAACCGTGTAGTCCCTTCCTGCCTCCTACACTGAGATCATGGAAGCCACACCTCAACAGCAGACTCCTCTGAATTCACTCTGGGCAGACTCACTTTGAACACAAGAGACATGATCTCACCATGGGATGCACGTGGCTTTCAATCGCCTTCAGAACACAAAACTTTCACTTCCCTTCTTTATGTTTCTGCCACTGACAATTTGTTCCACCTTTGTCTGTTCTGCGCCCTCTGTGATCCCTCTTTGACTGCAGTTCACGACCTTTTGTGTATAGGATGAACAAAGGGCACAGGCTAAAACTGTCATCACAGTTGGGCCTCTGCTCTTCTACTGACTTCACTGGTTTGCTATTAAAAATAGGCTCAAGCTCAAAGTCAGACCAAAGAAGAATTTCTGGGTCATCAGAGTCTAGGAATCTCCAGAAGATGGTGCAGAAGCAATGTGAAAGAGGACACAAGTGTTTCTTTTTATCCAAATTCAAATAATGAATCTGTGGTGCTTGCATACCACCTACATGGTACTTAACAGTCATTTGCTTTGTATGAAAGAGCAAGAGAAAAAAAATCATCAGGCTGGCCCACTCTTGGCAGGGGTGGGAGGGTAGAAGGGAGACAGAAAAACACCATCAGCTGTGGCAGTGAGCTGTGTGTATTTACATTTCACAGGCTGAACTATTTAGTGGTTTATTTACACACAATGTTCTTGGAGCAGCTAAAATGCCAGTTGTGTTTTATCTCGATTTTGTGGCAATGCGCATAAGCCACAGAATCATAGGAAGAGCCTGCAAATGAGAGATGAACCTCCTACATCTGGAAAAGCACACAAGCCACTGTGAGAAAGGAGAGAGATTTTGGGAGCACAGGCACAACGAGGGCTGAAATGCATTAGTTGTGACAAGATACCAAAATACAACCCAGGGATTCAAAAGCAACGACCCAGTCACAATGCAAGAGCTTGTGCTGCAGGGATTGCACATCCCAGGGAATCCTCACAACCAAGCCAACCTACGGCACGGCACAGCGGCCTCGGGTCCCTCCGGCTGCCCCTCCATGTTAGAGTGAGGAGGGAATTGCAGTCAGCTCCATTTTATGCACATTTGATGGCAAGAAGCCAACACAACTGTTGACTGAGCCAAATCTGGGCCCCCTTGAACTAAGCCATCACCTAAAGCGGGGTGGAAAAGCACATGCCTCTCGCCTTCCCAGCAGCCAAGTTCCTGAAAAGCATCCCAGCTACAAGAAAGATTTTTCTTTCTTTCGTCTGACAACAACTGATGTTTAACTCTTTTATATACACTCATTAATTTGAAATGGAATGGCTAACGTGAAGCAGCATTGTACAGCAAAGGGATGGAGAGGCTTCCTTCCAGCGAGCCAAATGATTTACTGGCTGGCCCAAATGGCAGCTGAGGCCAGTGCCCGATCTGGAGAGCTGCTATCGTCACACTCTGCAGCCTGTTCCCATCCTCAGCCAAGGTGCCAATGGCTGCCTTCCAAATGGAACTGTATTCCAACAAAAGGGAACGCAGGACAAGCTTGGGAAAGCTTTCTGATCCCTTCGGTTCACTTCTTCCCTCCAAACCAGTGTTTGGTGGGAGCTGCCAGCACGCTTGGGAATTGCATGGAGAGCATCACCACTCTGGGAATTCACCTTCCTGAGCAGGCACTGCTCCTGAGCCATGCCTCTGCCTCAGAGCAGAGAAATCCCTCTGCTGATTTCTGCTTTAATTATATTTTAAAAACTCAGCTTCTAGTCTGTGTTCCATTATATTAATAGCAATAATTAAAAATACTTCAAACAACAAGTCCTCTAAACCTGCAGTTCCACCCAGGCTTTCTGGTATTGCAAACTTCCTTTCCTGACATCCTCAGGGAACTAGATTGATGGCTACTCTGTTCCATCCCTGCTGCAGGGCCATGCTGTGTTCTCTCAGCACATGTAAGCTGCAAGGTAATATTTGTGTTGGCAACTTCCTTACATATTTTACAGAACCAGACCTCCATTTGACCCTCTGTGCAGCTCCTACACACAACTCGGTCCACTCCTTCGAACTGTCTCCTCCTGCTGCACCACATGCTCCATACCATACCTCTGTTTCCAGCCTGTTTGAAAACTATGCATCTTGAACAGAGCTTTTGTGCTTTAACAGTACACCTTAGCTATAAAAGCCAAGCCTGCAGAATCTTCTTAAGCAAGAACACCAAACAAATTATTATAAAAATCTGCATTTACAGGTCCTGGTTGTCCTTCTCCCAAGATTGCTCCAACGAAAGCAATAATTTTTATGAAAAAATGAGACCTGTGTAAAGTTCTGTGTAAAAAGACATCAACATCCAAGTTTTTAATGGTCAAAATCCAATAGCTATACAGTGCTTTAGGGGGCTAGTGGGAGCATTGGGGGTTTTTGTTTAATATCAGTTCTATTTCAGCTCTTTAGGCAATAACACCACCACCACAGACTTTCACACCAGAGATCTTCCTTCCTTACCCAAAGCACACCAAGCAGAATAAAAGATAAGCCAACAAAGTAACGTGTCCAGATAATCAAATGAATTCCCATTATCCATCTGTGCCGCAGCAGATCATCAACAACTCCATTTAACGCCAACAGAGCTAAACCAGAATAAAAGTGATGCAAGAAGAAGGGAGATGTGAGTGGCACACGGCAGTGAGGCAGCTGCAGTGCGAGCAGGGGACTGTGCAGAGCATCATGTGACAGGAGCAGCAGCCGCGGAAGAGCTGCAGCCCCCGGCTCCCACCTCCCCAAATCTGTGCCCTCCGTGCAAGGCCACGGGCACCACCATCTGATTCCAACGCAGAACTGACTAGGGTTAGAAGCTTCTCGATGATCTGAATCATTATGCTCCATTTTTGTTACTTCCCTCCACAAAATAAAACAGGGACACAAAAATGATTAACAATGAGCTTCATGTTCCTCCTGCTGGAATGCACTTTCAGCATCTTTATCACTTGTAGATCGACTTTCTCAAAAGAGCAAAATGAACACAGAATGTGGTATCATCCTTACACATAGAGCAAAGCATAACTAGACATCATTGTGATAAAATATTCCCTTGCTTGTAAGGGACATGGATTGCCAACTGAATTTTGATACTGTATTGTAGCTACATTTCAAGACAAAACAATGATCACATTCTCCTTTGTAGCACAAAATATTCCCCCTCTCCATATAGTTTCTGTGAATGGCTTTTCTATTTCCTGCGGTAAAGGACCTGGCCATCACATTTGGGACCGTCTGTGTTGCTCTGGCAGCCC